ATCCTTCAAACAGAAGATCGAACATGCAGGCTTCTTTAACATGTTAAAGTTCATTTATACACAGATCCTGTCGAAAAACTTTGGATTTCCCGATCTAATAATTATTTTTAATGAGTCAAAATGCACAGTACTCGGAAAAGGCCATCTTTCATCATTTGCGTCCACCGTGAGCCCAAATTTTGTGACGGCGACTGTAGCCTGCATCAAGCATTATCAGTAGCATGTATTAACATTAAATGAAAAGTTCGTGTCTGGTTTTATGCATCGAAGAACATTTCATATCACGTTTATTCCAAAAACAGATCTGAATTTGTGCATGGCAGCGCATTGCTCGAACCAGTATAAAACATGAATAGGTCATATAAATGAATGATGTGAAATGGAAGATTGCCAAACATTGCATCCAGTTCAGTGCCTTGGAAATTCCCACCGGCATCCAAAGTGCAGCGTGTCCAGAAACTGAATGCTCCATCATGCTTGACACGCTAGCAACTGCATTCTGTATGAGCCTTCGTAAACAGATGGATTTTCATGCATTCTGTTTACAGTTGCTATTAAACACAAACCAGTTTATAGGTAAGAAGAGACGAAGATAACCATGGGAACAATAAAATCAAATTTCCTTCATCATACTAAGAGCCCAGCAATCACTCTATATGGTGAACGGTCCCAGTAAGAGTTTCTAGAAAGAACTTCCAACTCTACCCCATCCAATTCCAACATGCCTGAGCCAGGTTATTGGAGATCTTTCCTTCCTTCCATTTCTTGGATGCAAGCAAGAAATTGAAGGTTTTAATTATTAGCTTATTTTTGTAATCATATTTTGCAGCCATCAAAGGGGTCGATAGTAATATCTCATCAAACATCACCCATGTCAGCTTTATGTTAGCCACATGCAACTGATAGTGCAAATTGTTCAAGAAAGAAGCAAACTTACTAATTTCAATTGCATACCACACATCAGAAGAACCCTGGTCTAGGTAGTGATCAAGCTCTTTAATTAGAACACTACTCGTTTCCCAACAGGTTGTCTTCACAGGAAAACCCATCCATTCTTTTATCCTGCAACAAAATCAGAAAAAAAAAAATTGAAAAAATTGATAACACCCTCAACATCAGCTGAGGAAATAATTTATATTCAATTCTCAAACATTGGACATGTGAACTCATTTACATGAATGTTTTTCTAGAGATTCTTTAGAGCCATATAAGTTCAGTGTTGAAATTAAAACCTTGACAGTCCGGGTTAGAGAAGATGATCACAAATGTGTCCAGTGAAGTGCCACCAGAGATGAAGTCATGACAAAAATAATGGATGTTTGTTCTTCTGGAAAATCCAAAGGGGCTGCTTACCATTGACATGAAGAAGAGGCATTGTTTCTCGTTAGCATTCAATAATCATATCAGACATGGAACATCTATCCATTCAGTTTGTACACTGTGCCAATAAAATAAGATGTGTGTCGCCTTATTTAATCTATATGATAGATGAAATACCAAGGAACAAGAGATAATAGATGAGACGTTACAGGTTCAAAGTCCATAGAATTCCTGGTCAAGAATGCTCAAAAGTAGTTCCTGAAAAATAGAACTTGGTCAGTCGATCAAAATGAAATAATGGATCAGCAGCAAGCAAAAAAATAAAATTGCACCCAAATACCAAGTCTGAAGAACTTCTCATCTATTTGATGTTCCCAGGAAGCCACAAGCAAAAAGATAAGTTGATCTCTCAGTAACACAAATTCTTGCAGTAGTCTTGCTTGCTTCCTGCCTTGAAGTACTTGGCCATAAATATTCACAATTTAGCCTGTGATGCCTGATAATACACCAAAATCTAGGTACCTAAATTGCCAGGTTACTTGAACAAAAATAGACAAACAAAAAATTGGCAGCTAAAAACCTCTCTGATATACAGATGACAGCTTTTAAAATCTGGATGAGTGCAATGGACTAACCTGCCAGAAAATTGCCATGTATTACCTTAAGGATATATATTTAATAAAGGTATCAAATACCTAGACCTGAACATAGACAAACTTTCTTTCCCAAAAATTTAATGGTATAAGCTCTGTACTCTTTCCAAAACAGAAGTTATGGAGGCCACTCTGATAATGTTGAACAAGAATCTTCTTTGGGAGAAAAAAATCAGTTGTGTTTTAATGTTTAGTCAACTAACCGCACTCAAATATAGCCAGATAAATAATGCAGCACATGCACCAAGTTGTTCTTGAGAGGTACAAATATGCATAAGATTACAGAATGCAGCACATGCACCGAGTTGTTCTTGAGAGGTACAAATATGCATAAGATTACAGCATAAAGCATTAATAATTAGAAAAGGGTACAGACTGTTGTTGAAAAGTATACAAATGGAGTACATCCTCTGTCTTTTAGGTCATTCAGACATCCTGGAAGTACAGAAGTGAAAGATCGCTAGGATCTTCAAGTCCGAAAAGATGGAAGAAGCATAAGACAAGTACAGACTAAATGACTGAAAATGACCATAGCCCAAAGCAAAATCATAATAGCAAGCTTTCAAAAATACCATCAACAAAGAAGACACGGCCAGTGCACGCCCCTTCAACTACTGTTCATAACTATACAAACTTCTTAGCAATGGGTAAATCGATGCCACCCTAAAAGCATTTCAACCCAATTGAAAGTCAGTGCACGGGTATTAATGGATGCTATGTGATGGCTACATTAAGGTAGAGTTTTGCATACATTGACTCCCAAATGCCATGACGAGTCAATTTGGCTTAAGCAGATCTTTGCTTCTCAGAGGAGGATCATAAATGGTGAGAACTGTCTTCTAAATTGTCATGATAACAACAACAGCATCCCCAGCAAAACTTCAGTCATTCATGAGACAGTTCGACCATAACAAACAGATGCAATATAAAGATTTGTAGCCCATTTCTCCTGAAAAATATAAATACAAAGTAAATCAAATGTGCAGAGTTTGTGGTTGGAAGAGAACAAAAAACAAAGGCATTTAGAAACAGGAGAAACATGGAACTGATCACCAAACCTTGACGTGTGTACTGGGAAAAGCAGAAGTTCGAAGTGTTTCTTGAGTTTCATCTACTGGTTTTCTTCTTGGCACACTGAGAACAAAAGCAGCTTGGTCCCACGTTGCTGCAGTTGAAGTGATGCGGTAACCACTATCCCACCTACGATGAATGCCTTCACTGGGATATAGAAAATCCAGCTCCACAACCTAAAATTGGAAGAGTAAAAAAATATATATAAGTTATTAAAACTTAATTGTTGGCCCCAGAAGCATTTCATTGATCAGAGATTCACAAAAGTGACCTGGTCTGAAAATCCTGTGCCACGAGACATAACTATCGCCCATCTACTTCCAGCAGTGGCCATAGTTGTGACATAAAAACCCTCTCTCCATTTCTTATTGATCCACTTGAAGGGAAAAGAATCGCTTACTTTGTAAGACTGCTGTAAATACTGAGTACCTGAATTAAATAAAGCAACAAAAATTTTACGTGATGCAATAAGAAAATGTTTTACTGACTGCTTCTGAAGGAGATACAACACTAACCCTTAGACATCACAACTAATGAACTCCCATTATTAGCTCCCGCAATTGCACTAATGTAATAATTCTTCTCCCACTGTTCCATTATCCATTCCTTTAAAAATATATATATATATATATATACCAGGCAAGAGTAAGTTGTTGAGTTAAGAGTTTAAAAGGTATAAACATTTCAACATCAAAACAAAAGATAGCATGCGGATATTCAGTAGAAATCATGTTAGCAAATAGTGTTCATTATTTAAGACCCATAATAGATACTTATCCTTGGATACGTGAGCCAAAACCAACCTTGTGGAGAAAATAAGGAGAGAGCTCATAAACTTGAGCACTGAAATTAGTGCCAGCATCCATAATTAAGGCCCATAGGTTTGAGCAAGAAGCCACGCTGCTGATAAATAATCCATCTTCATTACCCTTCTCTATGTGTTGGGAGAGCCTCACATCAGCCACGTTATAGTGATATCTACACCAGGAAATGAAAACATTAGCCTTCAATCCTTGTCACCAAATTTGAAGAGCACAGCATATAACTCTTCACTGCATACCTTTGTTTCATAGGCCGACGAGCATTATAAACACTTATCCACTGTGTTGCAGGCATCCCCATCCTGACCTTTTTCTTTGGTTGTTCATCTTCTTCTTCCTCCATTGTCAGTCGCCCTCTCTTGTTCCCAACCTGATATATAAGCTTCACAGTACAAAACATCAGGTTAACACAACCTCCACAACATGGGGAAACAAAGCATGTCTCAATGATCAAAATAAAAAATGACATATAGATGATAAAACTTGACAGATACCTTCTGAGCACCATCAGTGTTAATAGGTCTTATGTCTGGATTTGGACCAACAATTCCATCAAAAAGGGAGATATATTTTGCATAATTTGGCTCTTCATCAAACTTCAGATTTACAACATGCTCAACAAACTGTCTAAAAGGCTGAGGACAGAAGCAACACAAAGCTTCTGGAGAAGTCGCCATCTTCTTCTTGCAAACAAAGAACCCTTTATTTTCCCCCTAAATAAACCATCGCATTAGAAAGAAATAGGAACTAGTCCTATAAGCATGCACAAATTAGATTATAATCTGCAAACCTGATATCCTTGCCAAGGCAGTCGACCGCGGAGAAGAAAGATGAGAGTGTAGGCAAGAGATTCTAAATCATCTCTCCTGCTACCAGTTCTACCAAGATGAGCATGAACACTGGCATATCGCACAGTTCCCCTGCAGCACAACAATATTCAAGCACCAATGAGTTGCAATGGAAAGCAATGGGGTATAGGAATACCCAAATATAATGATGCTAAGCTGGCATAATGTTCAATAATTACACAATTTCATTTTACCTAAAAACATCTGGGCGTTGATCATATTCAACATGAAGACCAGTTGAACAATCTCTCCACCGGGTTGCTGTATCAAAATAGGCAACACTATGACTTCACATGAGGCACCATCATCTGTCAAGAAAGTATTGGATGCCACATCAAAAACTGGCAAATTCAACAACTTACCTAATCCAAGATCAACAAGAAACAGCTTTTTTTCTTCAGGAGTTCCTCGTGGACCAAGTAAAAAGTTTTCAGGTTTTACATCCCCATGGACATATCTGCCAAACAGAAGAAAATATATTATGAAAAATCCCTTCTAATAAAGAGCAACAGTAGAGTACTGCAAGTGCTGTTTGAGAGTTGCTCGTTACAACTGGTTCACCCAGTGTGTTTGGCTGCAAATAATGTTCTAAACAAAGTGTGATTACAAGGGGACAGCAAATGGTGGCTCCACTTTATCACAATAACTACACTATCAAAGGCTGCAAGTGCATGACACAAGATGCCTGCTTACCATCAAATATGCAAAAATTAACAACGTATGTAAGACAAAAATGGAGACTAGAAGACCTACATGCCCTCTCAAGGACCACCTAGGTAGACAATTTTAACACCAATCACATTGATCTCAACATCCAAAATCCATTGATCAAATTACCAAAAGTGACTTTCTTTCTAAAAAGTAGATTTGCATCTTTATACATAAAAAGAAAATTAGCAGCAGAATTGCTTTTAAAAAAGTCTCACCCTCTAGAATGCATCTTTTCAAGTATAGAGATGGCTTCAATGGCAATGCAAGCGACCATATCAATGGACATCCTGAAATTGAAAAGAAAAGAAGTGAACATTGGATATATTGAAAATATCTGATCTTATTGTGTTAACTAAAAGAAAACTATCAAGTGAAAAACACTTGCGTGTGTGAGTTGTTATTCCAAACATCCCATAGACTAGGTCCAAGCATATCCATAACCTGCAAGAAATATAGCATTTTTTAAAACATTCTTCTAAAACATTTGCCCAGAGGCTGAAACTTAATTCTTACCAATCTGAAGGTAAAAAAAGAGGACTCGGATCAAACAACAGATACCATAACATAGTAGTCACCCTGCCTTCCTTTGTAATGAGCACGTGGCACACCATGACTGCCCCCAAGTGCACTGTACACTCAACACAGATAAAAAAAAAGGTTATAACTCCCCATATACATCCCCTCCCTACCAATGTAATACATAGACAATAAACCAAAAATACAAAAGCAGCGGTAGGATCCTCACTTGTAAACTTGCCACTCATAAGGTGGTCCATAATTACATCCTTTGCTGCTTCTATGCTCAAATTTTAATGCTACCTACAATTTACACACAAACCCCATCACAGTCATAAAATCCAGCACATTTTATCAAGCAGCTATAGAATAGATACAAGAATCACATACCTCTAAAGCTCCAGGACCAGTTCTTTCATTTGAAAAATTGGTGGGACCAATTCTTCGACCAACATAAACCTGTCCAAAACCTCCTTTACCCAGTTTTCTATCTATTTTGTACGTTGGAGAATCACCAACTTGGACCTGTGGCAAAAAGACTCAAAATGATAAGACACGGTGCCTATATAAATAATTACAATACCAAAATCCATTTCTATCAAAGCTAAACTCACACAACTAGTTAATTCAATACCCAAAAAAGTGGAGCTTAACAACAAATCAGATATATTTTACTGAATTTGTTAATTTCCCCTCCTGCAACTAACAAAAATAGCTTCAAAATGAAAAAAAAAATAACAGCAAAATCCAAAAATTTTCAAATATCATGAACTAAATTCACATACATTAAGCCGATTTCATGCAAAACAAGACACAAAAACAAACTTTCTCGCACTTTCCCACAGTTTCTCACATCCAAACACAATCTCTCACGAAAACCAAAACTAAGACTCACCTTCTCGGGAAGAGGAGCAGTGCTTCCTTCATCTTCTGCTCCAGTTCCCTTGTCGGCGCTCCGTCCGCCGCCGCTATCATACCCGTCCATGTTCTTATTAGCAATCCCTTCGTCTTTTCTCAAAACCCAGGCTTCCTCGCCTTGCTTTTCCTTTCTAGACGGCTTCGTATCCGGTAATCTCACAATTTTCTCCTTATCATCAACGACCGTGTTCTTTTTTATCTAGCTGTTAACCTCCGCGGTTCTTCTTTTACGAGTCTGTACAGTGAGCTTAACCGGGCTCGGATTCTGATGGTTACGCAGTTCAGAATTCTGCGTGTTCGGCCACGCAGTTCAGGCATCGAATGTAGGACGGCAGTGAAGGCAGTGGTCCATGAAGCTGGTGGTGGAGGGAGGATTCACGAAGGTTCTAGAATCATTCGATAGAGAGAGAGAAGGTTGTAGAGAGATAAAAGTGAAAATTGGGGTTTGATGAGAAATTTTGTATTTTGAAGATTTGTAGAAGGAAACGGAAAGGAAGGGATTTGTCATGGAAGGGACTGGAAGAGATCGTGATATGCGTGTATGATGTAAGAGACGCTAATGTGATTTTTATTTTTTTGAGAATTTTGTTTTTTTGATTTTTGGAATTCGAAATTTATTTTTATTTTTTATTTACCACGTGAGGGAGGAATGAAAGTTTAAACTCGATTGTGTGTCCTTTGCTGTTTCAGAATGAGGTTCAAAACTCTTTTTTTTTTTTGAGATTTTTATTTTTTATTAAAATTAATTTTTTTATATTTTTAAATTATTTTAATATCAAAAATAATTTTTAAAAATAAAAAATATTTTAATATATTTTAAAAAATACTTTAAATGTAGCCGCTACAACATTTCTAAATACATTTCTTATTTTTTATTGACTACATTTATATTATTTAGGTTGTGTTTGATGCATTTTTTATAAATTAATTTAAATTATTTATTATTTAATAAATAGTTATGTATACATATATATAGTTAGAAATAACTCTTAACTTAAATCAATTTTTTTATTATAAAATCGAGTCAATTTTTCTATATAATCAAAAAATTTAACTTTTAATTTATGAAATTATAGTATATACCATATTCATTCTTTAAAAAAAAAGTGTCTTTGAGTTATTTTATTAAACATGTTTTTAATTTAAATTTTTTTATGATTACATGGAAAAATACATAAATAAACATGAAATTAAGTATTTTTAATATTTTTAGTTGTTATTGAGTAAAAACCTTAACACGGGGAGGTTGGTTTATGCTGTTTGAAATATTTTACACATAAAACTTTTCAAGTATTTATAATATTTGGTGAACAATGGTTTGAAAATATAATGATAGAAAAATGATGTGGTGGTTTGCAAAATATTTTATAAAATTTTACAAGCTTAATTTTTTTAAAAAAATAAACTAAATAAATATTAATTATAAAATATATCATTTACAAGTAAAAAACACATGAAAATTAAAAAAATATATTTTTTATGAGATATTTAACATGAAAAAAAAAGCCCTCTTAATAATATTGTTTTCAACTTATAAAGAAAGTGTCAAACTCTCATCTTTCCCCTTATTGTAAAATAACTTTCGCCCAACAATCACAATTTAAGTGTAACGTGTTCATTCTATATAAGAACCTGGTTTTGAGTCATTGCTGACGTGAAAATACAAGTATAGGCATTCATCATAATTATATAAAAGAATTCGAATTCATCCATCCATAAATATAGATTTTACTCTTGTAATAATAATTAAGTTTTTTTATATTAATATCTTGTTTGTTTTTATATTTTAAAAATTTTAAATTTTTTTATTTAACTTAATATTTTTTAGTATTTTTAAATTATTTTAACATACTTGTATTAAAAATAATTTTAAAAAAATAAAAAAAATATTATTTTAATATATTTTTAAATTAAAATATTTAAAAGAAAACTACAACACTCCGTAACTAAACAATATCCAAAGGTTAAAATCAATCGTCGTAATAGTAATTAGTTAGATCTGATTCCTGCACGAATGAAGCATCTTTTTCTCGGCAGGAAAAAAAAAAAATTGTGGGAATTGTTAGATTTTTTTTTTTTTGTCATCAAGAAAGAATTCTGATGTGATATTGTGGTCCATATATGCCAAGCAAAGTCTGAATTTTCGCTGAGAAATATAATATTGTTATGTATAATATTTTTTTAATTTATAAATATATTATAATAAATTTTTTATTTTTATATTAATACATTAAAATCATTAAAAATATAAATTTATATCTTTTTAGAATTATAAATCCAAACAGAAACTAAATGGAATCTCGTTTTCAAAAATAATGGAAGAGATAGCAACATCATTCAACTATAATTTATTTGTTATTATAATAATAATTATTTTTAAGAGATTTTTTATTTAAAAATTTATTAAAATAATAAATTATTATAGAAAGTTAATCACCTGTCAATATCATAAGTTATTATAATAAAAAATAAATAAATGAGTAAACTAGAAAGGTGTCGTGTCTTTCAATGTAAATTAAATGAGTAAAATATTATCTCATCTATGTGTTCTTAGTGAAATAATTAATTAATCCTTTGGATTTAAAAAATCTAATATTGAATCTTTATACTTTAATGTTTGATTGTACTCACATTTTCTCTTCTTTTTTTTGACAATTAAATTGTTTGTTTTTTAAAATTCATTTACGTAAGAGAATATTTTTGATACACACAAAATAATTTAAAAAATAATTCTTTAAATCAAAGAGAATATCTAACAAAATTATTAAAAATACAGAGAATAAACATAAAAGAAGAGAAATGTTACGGGGCAAAACATTCATACAGGAACAACACGATAAGAAAAAAAGATAATATATATATTAAAATAGATTAATTCCAGTACAAGGAAAATAAGATTTTGGCAGTTTAGATTTTAAATAGGCTCCTTTATACTTAAATAGCTACAGTTGTAAAAAGTTATTTTTCTTGCTTATGTCATATTAGTGATGTGGCTAGAATTTGTTAACCGATTGTTTATGGTAAAAAATAGGAAAAACACAATCATAAATTTTATAAATTTAATTATTCAATTTATATTATTTATAAATTTCAATAAAAAAACCTGTATTTCATTTTTTAAAATCATAAAACATGTCTCTTTTTCTATCTATTTATCACTATATTATTAGAGAATAATATAAATTATATTTTAATATCTTACTTAATAGTTTAAATTTTTAGGTTAAGATGGTTTTTTAACATAATATTAGAGTTTTGATAACCAAATAATCTCAAGTTTGAATCTTATTTATATATTAAAAATTTTAGCATAAGATAATATAGATCTGTATAAATTTTAAGTGCAAAAAATTTTTATTTAAAAATAAAAATTATATCTTATCCTATAATTTTTTTTGCAATTGTATTTTTTTTATGTTTTAATTATATATAAAAGTAAACTCTCAATTAAAATACAAAAGTACATGGCTCACCCGTATTCATAACAATTTTTATTCTAGATTTCGATGAACTACTGTTTCTATCCAACTTTGTTGATGATCACAAAACTTTTAATTTCTCAAACTTAGGGATTTTAGTTCTGGATACGTAGATCACATAACTTTGTTGAAGATCATATCCCAGTCTCCTCTTTTACTCATATGAACTGGATTCTGTGGCCACCCCCTCTTCCCCTCTCTCTCTCTCTAAAATTATGTGACAGTCCTGCTAATTTTTTTATTTTTTATATTAGCATATTGAAATATTAAAAAAATCAATTTTCCATACCATATTAGATGGGCACGTCATGGTCCACAAGAGACCAAACGGAATAAAGAATAATATCCATGGTTTGATTTCCCAAAGGTTGGATGAAAGTTAGGGATAGACAGAGAAAGATAAAAACAAAAAGAAGACACCAAACCTATCGTGGATGGGATCTCTATCCTTTGTACAGTGTGTATGCATTGATTTTCCACGAGAATTTTGAATGTGAGTGATCTGTGGAGATAATGGATAGATCCACTCTTAATTAATTGGCCATCAATACGTTAACCCAATCTTGCAGATTCTGGGATCAAAAGGTGAAACCTGTTCTGTTGTATTGTATAAGAGATGTGGAAGACAACACCTTTCCAAGAAGATTTTCCATAATGTTCGAAAATTCATTAGGTGTTTTTAGGTGGTTGAATATTGTGCTCAACCAGTTATTCATGCTATTAAATTTATTTTTCATGGTAAAGAAAGGTGGTAATATGATGTAAAAATCTTAACTCAAGGAAGCATTCCAACTCAAAAATGTTCACAGCGAGTATCTTCGAACACAAAAAATGTAATAAATATATAAAATAATATTAAATTCTAAAAATAAAGTTGTTTGTTTCTACTTTGTGTAAAATAAGTGTCTTGTAAAAAAATAATAATCGTATATCAAGAATAAAATATGTAAATCTATTATCTGAATGGTCTATAAAATATTTATATCTTGAAATTTTATTTTTTTACTTAAAAAAAAATTATAAAATTATTCTATCTTAATAATAATAATGAAAGATAAATATTTTTTTATATGTGTATTATTAAATAATAAATATCACTAACACAAATATTAACAGCTAATAAATATCATTTTTACTTGTATTTGCGAGATAGAAATGGAGTAATTATGTGAGATTCCTTGACACTTAAGGGTGTAAATATAGCAGGATTCAAGCTAAAAACTTTGGTTTAGAAGAAAATCATGAGGGACTGGATGTTGGATCCAATCACAAGACAAGACTTAGAAGGTGTTGAATACGCAAGTAGGCCAGGATTAAAAAAACACCCACCTGGCGCCTGCCACTTGGGGCCACGCATATTACCTAAGCTCAAGGGCATCAGTCGCATGGACCCCAGCGTTGCTCGGGTTCAAGAGTGTTATGTTTAAAATATACTTTAGGTTTTATACTTAATTAAATTTTTTAATTGAATTTAATTAATTTTTAAATATAATTAAAATTTCATTTCATTAATAATTAAATTAAATTATTAAAAATTTAATTATAGTCTTATACTTAAATTTTATATAAATTTATCTAATAATCATTTTATTTGACCTTAAATTTATATTTTTTTTATTTTTAAACATAATAAGATAAAATAAAATTTTATTTTTTAAAAAAAATTACAGCTTGATTATCCAACTTTTTTTTCACATTACCAGATTTTATTTTATTATTTTATTTTTATTTTTTAAAAAATAAATTTTAAAGAATAACCATAATTGTTTTATGATAGCTATCATGCAACCTATATTCTCTCATGTTTTGTTTCCAGATTTCAATTGAGAAGTAGTAGCACAGCGGGGATGAATTCTGTCTATCTATCGGCGGATCATTTCATTCAATTTTTGAAAGACTTAGCCAATATCCTGAACCAACACAGAATCAGAGCATCAATCACAATCTAAAGAGAGTTTTTGTCTCCTTTTCTCCTCAATCTTTAACCAAGTTCTGAAACCTTTGTTCCGAGCCAAGCAAATGTCACTTTCTGTGCTGGTGTTCTGCATTGCAGGTGTTCTACACTGTGGTAGCAGTTGCGAGCGATAACTT